GGGTTATGGTAGAATAGGTCGTATCACAATATTTTTTCTTTAAAATGTTCATTTTAGGGGTGCCTGGGTGGCTCAGTCAATTGAATATCAGACTCATAATTTCGGCTCAGGTCATGATCTCAGGGTCCTGGGACTGAGCCCTGCGACGAGCTCCCTGCTCAGTGGGGAGTCTGCTTCTCTCTCTGTTCCTCCCCCTCTCCATACTGTCTCTCAAATAAATAAATAAATAAATCTGTTCTTAAAAAGTCCATTTTATCTCATTATGAAATAAAACTTGCTTATGGGTAACAGTTCCTGAAAACGGTCTCCAAAACCAAACCGTAAGTTTCTCGCCATGCCCAGAACGTGCCGGATACCTGACGTTCAAAGTCCGTCGTGGGCAAAGGAGAAACGCCAGCAAACCCCAGGGCTCTGCTTCCGTCTGCCGCCCATGAGCCACATGCTCCCTCGAGCGTCCTAGGCTCCCCACAGCTCTTCTCCCACGGCCCAGTGGGCCTGACATCTCCTGTAAAGGGCTTCAGGGTGGGAAGCTTGGGGTGACTCCCCGCAGGGTTCACAGGACATGCTCTCCAGGGGAGACAGACGGGAGATGCCGGGTCTGGGAGGGTCCAGAACAGAAACACAGCGCCTGGCCTTTGCTGAGCGCGCTGCGCACCCAGCACCCGTGAAGACCCGCCCGCCTCCAGCTGGACCCCCTCCGGGGATATGGAGACCTGGCGCGGCCGGGGTCATGTGCCCAGAAGTGTGAGCTGGGGACCAGCACAGCCTCCAGGACCCACGTCCTCCCCACTGCAATCTCAGGAAGATGGTTCCCCCAAAGAGAAGGGCCCATGTCCAGGGATCCCAAGACCGGGTGCGCTGGGGTGGGCCCAGTGGTCGCCTGCAGCCCCAGGATGACGATTTCAGTGCAGCCCTGGGCCAGCCCTGCCCTGTAGGAACGGGAAGGGCGTTTGCTGTGGGAGGAAAGCACCCCGAGGACAGGGCCCCACACTTGGGCCAGCCAGGTGGCCGCTCACATGCAGAGATGTGGGCATTTGGTGGGGTGGCTGGAGACCTCAACTGACCCAGTTCCTTAATCCGTCACTAACGCCATCTGTGTGTGCTCCTTCTGGTTTTGTGCGGAGGGCCCTCCCCCGGGCAAGCGGCAGGGGCGCAGGCTTTGTGCACGTTGACCCCTGAGCCCCAGTGGGCCTGGGAGGCCGAGTGCTGGCCTGCCCGGACCAGGAGGCAGGCCCACAGCCAGGCTGGTGGGGGGCATAGCCCGCAGGGCCCGGGGGCCCTCCTGCCCCCACTGGGGTGGGGGTGTTACTCCTTTACTGGCTACATACGTTATTCTGGAAATTGTCAGACATGCAAGCCCCTGCATGGACCCAAGTCCTAGCCTCCAGCTCTGCTGTGGCTTCAGGCAGCCCTTTCTTTTCTCTCTTGCTGGAAGAGATTTCAAGCCAACTCCAGACGTCATACCGTTTCGCCCATCAATAGTCTTCTCTAGTCAAATGGAAAACACATCTGGACTTCGCACTTTATTCGAAAGGATGGTGGTGGTCCCGCCTCTGCAGCCTCTGCTCACCCAAACCAGGCGACCCTGCGGCCCGCCGCGGCCCCCGTTGAGAGTGGGGCACCGTGTGGTACAGGTCCGGGCTGTCAGAGCTCATGAGAGATGCAGAGTCTCCGAGTCAGGGTCCCCGCCCAGGTGCGTCGTCCCGGCAGGTGCCCACCCCAGCCTCCCTGCCCACGCCCCACAGCCTCTGCGGGAAGCGGGCATGTGGCGGCCAGTTGCCGTGGTCTCCAGGGAGCGCGGGCTCAGGCACTGGCCAGGGGACGGCGCCCCCAGAGCTGAAGTTCTCTGGCGGCTGCTTTTCCAGTCAGGCCCAGAGCCGGGGCTCCCGCAGCAAGAGCACCGACGGGATGGTGTTCGAGACCGGGCTGGGGGCCCCTCTTCCCACAGGAGAGCTGGCCACGGCCCTCAGGAGCTTCAGCCTTCCCAGGGGCATAGGGAGGAGGTGCTCTGGAGAGACTGGGAACTGGCTGGCCCGTGGGGTGCCGGTCCATGGGGTGCCCGCCCGTGGGGTGCCAGTTTTTGTGTGCTGGACGACCGTGGCTGTTAGCTTTGAGCAGGGGGGCTCTGGCCAGTGGGGCGGTCGGGGATGTCAGAGCCCTCGGTGTGGGGAGGTGACACAGGTATCCAGCTGCCTCCTGCTCCAACATGGGGGGCTCGGGCAGACGCTGGGCCAAGCAGCCAGCGGCCATAAACCCCAGACCCTCTGGCTGCTGACCATCTCGGCCACCTGGGGTCCCCTCCTTGTTTCTTCCCTCCCTCACTTCCTGGAGTGGTCATTCTTAGCTAGCGTGCCCCACACGGAACACTTGCTGTCCAGTTTCATTGGCCCCAAAATATCCTTGGCTGGGGTACTGCCATCCCACTTGTATCCAAGTGCACACGTCCCCTGGTCTGGGTGTCCCCTGGAGCATGAGTGCCAAGGCCCACACTGCTCTTCAAGGCAGCTGGGAGAAAGTGCATGGCAGGGAGTGAGGCCGGGTCCTGCCCCCAACCAGGAGAGGAGCAGAACTTACAGGGAAGGAAGGAGGAGCGTCCCAGGATGTCTAGGCAGGCAGGAAGCTGGGCTGGTTTGGGGAAACAGGGTGCTGAGTCCTAAAGAAGTGGGGGCAGGAGTGTTGGCTCCCTGGTAGGCACGGTGACAGGAAACAGGAAATGGGGTTTGGACCCAAAGAAGACTCAGAACGGGAGGGGATTCAGGGAATCATTCACTTTGGTGGCAACCTGCTGAGGAAGGAAGCGGCAAAGACAGGAGGGGTGGCTTGGGGAGGACAGGGACAGGCACCCATCCAGCAGGTGCCGTGAGGGTAAGTCACCTGATCTGTGGACTTAGTCTCTGCAGGAGAAAGGATGCTTGCTTGTCCCAAGGAGGTCAGAGCATGGACGAGGGGAGTTGGAAGAAGGGACATGGTCTTTCAAAAGCAAAATGTGGTGAACTCTGCTGAGCTTGAAGGGTTTCCCCAGAGCCAGGACCTTTGGCAGAACTGGCCTCTGAGGTTAGGTGCAGGGGTGCGCTAAGTTTCCTGCAGTCTTCCTGGGTCTGGAGAAGCATGAGGACGTCTGGACGGACGCCTCCAGCTGGGGGCAGAGTTTGTCCGGCAGTTTCCTCTCCGGGTACCCCTCCGGGACGGACCGCCTCTGAAACACTTCAGGTGCCGCAGGTTCCCCGATGCCTGGGAAGACGGGCAGTGGGTGCTGTCACAGCTTCACCATGTCCAGACGTGGCCCAGAGGCCCTTCCCACCAGAAGGCGCTTGGGGTGTCCCGGAAAGACACGTCTTCAGGTGAGGCTGGCCGCAGGGGCCGTGGCTCCTGCTCACAGAGAAGTTGTCTTTCTGTTCCTGCCCCTTTTTTCCAAAACAACTCTTGGGATGAGGAGGGCTGAGGCTACAAAGGTATCTTTTTCTTTTCTTACGATTTTATTTATTGAAGACGGAGAGACAGAGAGTGAGCACGAGCAGGGGGAGCAGCGGAGGGAGAGGGAAGAGCCGGTCCCTGCCGAGTCGGGGGTGTGACTCGGGACTCCACCGCGGGACCACAGGACCTGAGCAGAGGGCAGATGCTTGACCGACTGAGCCACCCAGGCACCCTACGAAAGTATCTTAAATCCGCCCCGCTTCTCACATTTCTAAACCAAAGTGCACAACAGCTTTGGCAAATTTTCAGTGGTTTCCCCCATTTGACAAGTGGCTTAGACATGGTTTTCATGCCCCAATATTGAGGTCTCAGAACAGAGTAAAGGGCCGGGGACCGGGGCTGCTGTGGAGCGTCAGGGGGTGCCTGACGAGCTGCTTCGGGGGGACCGCTCTGTCCCGAGTAGCAACCACATGGAGCCGTGTGCCTACGTTCTCCTGAGCTGCTAACAGCACCTGGCCGTGACCCCGCTCCCAAGATTCTGACAAAGTTTGGGAAGAGGCAGCCGCGGAGGGAGCCCTGAATTCTGCCTCCTGTGGGGAGCACAGTACATCCCGAGCTGTTAGCCTCGCGTCACCCACCCTGGGGGCAATCCCGTGAGGGGAGGCGGTGCATTGTACCCCCATCTGCTGGGCCGCGGGAGCCCCAGCCAGCCAGAGGTTTTCCCAGGCCGGGCTCCCCGGGAGTGGAACCCAGGCCCCAGTCTGAGTCTGCTGCAGGAAGGCAGGAAGGAATGGGGCAGGCCCCCAGGTGGGTGCAGGGATTAGGATCTCATCGATGCGCTGTTCTCAGACGGCAACCGTAAACTGAAAAAGAGCAAGTGCAGAATAAGACTCGCTCTTTTCTGCAGAAAGAAAGTAAAACATGGGTCGCAGGTCAGAACTCTGAGCTTTGGACCTGCCCGGCAGGGCCTTTGGGGGTGTCTCTGAGACATCCAACTGGATTCCTAAAGGGAGTGACGGGGACTCCTGATGGCCCACCCAGCCTGGGGGTGGGCGTGCACCCCATCCCACACCCAGACCCCTCCGCCAATCACCCCATCCTTCCCCCGGAGTGCCCCCCACCCCCCCCGGTTCCTGGGTGCCCCCCCACACCCCATCTGGCGTCCAGGCGCCCCCCCACCCCTGCCTACACTATCCGCCCCCTTCACCCCACCCCCCGCCTCGTGCTCCCAGCAGACCGCCTTCCTGCCCCCAGATGCTCCCCCACACCGCACCCCGCCCCAGCGTCCTCCCTCGAACCCCATTCCGCCCCCAAGGAGCCTTGATCCCGCCCCCAGCCTCCCACCCCGCACCCCTCCCTCCAGGCCTAACCCCTCCCACGCTCCCCGCTCCCGCAGCTCCGGACACCGCCCTCCGCCGGGGCCTCAGGAGCAGGTGCAGCCCCGCCCCCGCCCCGCCCTCGCCGCCCCGCCCCGCCCCCTGCTCATCCTTTGGGCCCCGCCCACCGCCCCGCCTCCCGCGCCCGCGGCCCGGCGGAAGGACACGCGCTCCGATCCCGGGAGGAGGCCTCGGCCCCCGGCGCCAACCCCGCGGTTCCTGCGCTCCTGGGCGCCCCCTCCCCGCCCTCCCGGCATGGAGTCCGCGGGGCGCGCCCAGGACCGGGTCCCCAGGTGGGTGCGTGAGGGCCGGACGCGCCTCGCCCAGCGTGGGGTGCGGGATGGGGATCTGGGGTTTGGGGTGCGGGGGTGGTGTGGGGGGCCGGGGTCCCCCCGCTGCACTCGTCCCCCGGCCCCACGCGCGCTGGCGGCCTCGTGCCCGCGGGGACCCTGGGCAGGGCCACGGGGCGCACGTGCGCGCGAAACTTTGTCTGGGGCTCACGGGTTCCTTTCCTCCTGGGGCCGCAGGGTGGACCCTTACGGGTTTGAGAGGCCTGAGGACTTCGATTACGCCGCTTATGAGGAGTTCGCTTCCGCCTACCTGGTCGTGCTCACCAGAAGAGCCATAAAATGGTCTAAACTTCTGAAGGGGAGGGGCCGTGTCCAGAGAAGTGGCACAGGTGAGTGGGGCCCGCGGGCTGCCCCGAGCGCTCCCCCGGGCGCAAGCCACGACCTCGCTAGAGCTTGCTCTGGGAAGGCGCAGGAGACCCGTCCCTCCCCCTGAGATGGGGACCCGGCCTTCCTTCCAAACCGGGCACCCGATCTGGGGTGGGGGGCTGGCTGGCGAGAAAACCGCTGTCCTGCTCTCCAGGGAGCGAGCGCGGTTCTCCCTTGGCCTGTACCCGCAGGGAAGCCTTCCCTCCCGCCTTCCCTGAGGGCGAAGCCCACCTCATTCCAGGCCTGCTGCTGCCACCTGTTCCCCCCAGGAATACCTGGCCTGAGCTTGCCTCTCTGGCCTTCTCCCCTCCTCCAGGCTTTGACCAGGATGCCGCCTCTGGGAGGCCCTCCCAAGCTCCTATCTGGGACGGCTGGTCCTTCCTGTTACACCACACAGCCCCACAGGCCTTCCCTCTCTGGCCGTGTGGCTGGGGCCTGTCGCTTCCGTGTGTCCCTGCGGGAGTCAGGCCCACACCTGTGGCGGGGGACGGTCTCTGTAATAGCTTCAGAATTTGTTGAAGGAATGAAGGAAGAAGTGTTTGTCTGCCGGGTTCCCCAGGCTGCCGAGAAGGGACGGGTGGGACCTGCCGGCCGGAGCCGAGGGCATTGGTAGGTGTGTGCTTCCAGGAGTTAAGATAAGGGACCTTCTGAAATAGGACTTTAGGACGAAGAAGGGATGAGGACGGAGGGCAGCTGCTGGGCCAGAGCCGTGTGACCAGAACCGGGATGGAATGCCGGCGTGCTGGACTTGGAACCAGGGTTGTCACATGACCAGGCCTAGAGAGGCCACCTGTAAAAGGGTTTTTAAGCAAGGGGGTGACAAGAACCATTTTTGCTTGTAAAGGGGTTAGTGAATAGGGCCCAGAGTGGTCCCGGTGCATGGGGCAGGTGAACAGGAGGGTTGGTGGAGGCACTTTGATCTTCCGGGGGGGTGGGTGGCGGTCGTGGGGGAGGGAGGCTCTTGCTCGACAAGGGGCCCCACCACCAACATGCTTCCCCTGCTGGGCCCCCTCCTGGCTGTCGCCGATGGGGGAGGGTTTGGTAAGCACTGAGGTAAGCTGGCCTCATTCCCGGAGGGCTGGCGGGGGGCGGGTGCCGGGGGGGCTTGAGCTGGTCCCTGTGGCCCTGTGGATCCTGGAGGCCCGTGCACTGTGTGCCTCCTCCAGGGGCCAGAACGGCCATCCCCTACTGTCCCCTGTGTTACTATGTTTCCAGAGCGTATCTGCTTTTGTTTCCTTCTTTATTCTTGAAAGTTGACTGGTTTTTTGTCCTTAAAAAATGTACAAGTGTATGAAGTAAACACAGGGGCGCCCGGGTGGCTCATGGGTTAAAGCCTCTGCCTTCAGCTCAGGTCATGATCCTGGGGTCCTGGGATCGAGCCCTGCATCGGGCTCTCTGCTCAGTGGGGAGCCTGCTTCCTCCTCTCTCTCTCTCTGCCTGCCTCTCCCCCTACTTGTGCTCTCTCTCTTAAAAAAAAAAACAAAACAAAAAAACTGCAGTGGAAGGTGTAAAGTGACCCCGAGCTCCTCTCCAGGCCCAGACCCTTGCGTGAGGCGGAGGCGATGGTCAGGACCGCTCTGTGTCTCCGCGGGAGCACGGTGCACGCACACACGCGTGCAAACACCACGTGTGCCGACAGCCGCACAGCCCGTTGGCCTTCATGCAGGAGAAGGCCTCCCGGCCGCCACGGCTGGCTCCGCAGGGCTGACAGCGGCTGGGGACCGCGCCCTCACTGTCAGGGTGTGTGCGGAAGCCTGTGTTTTCACGTGAAGCGCAAATGCGCCTTCGTCTCCTGACCTTTGGTTTTATCGTTTGGTTCTAGCGAGTCGCATCCTTCCCTTTGAATGAGGTGGGCCTGCTGACGGTCTGCGTGGCCTCCCGAAGCCACGCGCCACGCTCTGTGTCCCGTGTCTGTTTTCCAGCATCTGTTCTCTCCAGCTGGAGCAGGAGTGAGAGCAGCTGGGTGCAGAACCTTCCAGATGCCTGTCCTTCTCTCGTGGTTCAAAGGTCTTGTCTCGTCTTTGCTGCTGCCCTCTTTCAGCACTGGAACCTGTCGGCTTTAAGGATGGAAGTTGGTTTTATTGAAATACTTGATTTTTGCTTTACTGTTTCTTTGGCTCAGTGACGTTGGTGTGTGATTGTGCTGACGAGTGTGAGCAGCGCCGCAGGTCTGGACGCAGGAATGTCGGGTTCCTGATGCGCCTGCCGCCTGGGCCCTGGCCGGCGGTGCCCGCGGCCTGCCGTCTTCAGGAAGCGGGGCACGGGCCGGTGCGAGGCGTGTGGGCCACCCAGTTCCATCACGCTGGGTGTCGAGGCTGGTGCTTGGTGTGCGGGTGGGAGCTGTTGGGCAGGAACAGGGGTGCGTGAGTCCTTCCAACCGTGAGACTCCAGTTCTCCCGCCAGCTCCAGGCTGATGGCAGCGTCATCGGGCATGTGGTGTCCCGGGGAGGCGGCGACGTGCGGGGACCAGCGGGTGCCCGTTCACAGCCCGGGAGCTGTTCAGAGCCCCCCTGGCTTCCGCTGCATACCCCACTTTGGTACCGTCCTGGGACCGAGTTTTGTGTCGCCATCCTGCTGTGGGGTTTCGTTCTGGACGACTTTCATCTGAACGCCAATCTTCGGGTCACCAGTAACACGGTGGCCTCTGGATCCTGGTGTCAGGACACCACGTGGCGTCAGCCACGTCTGCAGAGGGCAGCCGGGACTTCCGGCTTGACTGCACTTTCGTGGATGTGACGGACGCGATGAAGGTCTGCTTTGTCCTCTGTTTTCGTTCCGTGTGGAGCAGATATCCGCTGGGGACCGAGAGACCGCTTCTTCCCCCTCTGCCCTGGAACGCGCAGCTGGGCAAGCTCAGCCCGGCCTGAAGCGTCCTTTGCTCCTGCTCCGGCCCACGTCCCTGGGCCCAAGCGCCAGGCATTCTTCTGCTTCCCATCTCCTTCCTCGTGGCTTAGAGAATCAGCACCATCTAAGTTAGACTAAATTGCAAAAACAGACTTTCAAAGGCAAATACCAAAGAACACGGGGATTTGCTGCACCTTCTTTAGAGAGGCACTGTCCGCACTCCCCGAGGTCAGGGATGGGTGAGCCCCTCCAGGGAAGGTCAGGCTCTGGGCGCAGGGAAACTAGTTTCATTTTCTGCTGAAGAAATGGTGTGACTCCAGAGAACAAGCAGCAAAAGTAGCAGAAACCTTTGTCCTTGGAAACTGTTGCAACAGCTCTGACCCTTGACGTCCTGGCCCGGTGGGGCTGGCAGGTCCCTCCAGAGCCCAGTGTCTCACTCCAGGAAGGGGTTCAAGCATTTTTCTCTTGCTTTTCTTCTATTTTAAAAAAGTTTTAATTTGCAGGGAGAGTCACTCTTAACCTGTTCACACTTCTGTGAGTTTAGACAAACGCACAGAGCCCTGTGTCCCTCCCAGCAAGACTGAGAACAGTCCCCACCTGCTGCCCATCCCTCTGGGGCCTCCGAGGCTGGCTCCTGCCTCGAGCTGCTTTGGCGCTGCGTCCCCAGTGTTGGGTCTGCTGGCGGTGGTTTGGGTATCGCAGAGGAACATTCTGGGTCCGGTGACTATGGGCTGTGCCTGAGTGCGGCGGGCAGGCGATGCGGGAGAGGCGACCAGCTAGCATTGTGAACCGCGGAGCAGGGCTGCTGGTGACGGTGTGGACTGTGCGGGAAGCCGCAGCCTTCCCTCTGTGGCCACCAGCCCAGCCTCCCCCCGCCTTCTCGAGCCGTGCCTGTCACCTGCCGCCTTGTGCGAAAGGCTTTCCGGCCTGCAGGACATCACTTCGCAACTTGGTCAGAAAGCTTGTGCGGGGCCGGTTCTGGGTTTCGTGTCCTCCGTTCCCTTCCGTGTCTGTGTTTCCACCAGCCCCACACGGTCGGTGCTACCTTGAACTCGGGCAGGGACTCTGGCTTCCCCTCGAGGGGACGTTCCCTTGTCTGTCCCCGGGACTTTGGGCACCAGGTCACAGCGACGCATCGGGTGAAAGTTCCAGTGGTGTGTCGTTGTCCTGTGCGTCTTTCCCTTTTGGGGCCCCCCGGTGTGGGGGCAGCCAGGTGAGGGCAGCTCCTTCGGTAGAAGGTGCCAGGCATGGTGGGGGGATGCCCGCCGGAGCCCCTTGTGCGCTCATGGCCCGCGCATCCGCTGTCCTGGTCCTGCGCCGGAAGAGGACACCGGCTCAGAGACTGCTGCCTTGGGGGCGGAGGGGGCTTCTGGTGGCCTTGGGCTTTCCCTGAGCAGCGTCCCTCTGTCCCCGGCCGTGGTCGCACTCAGCCAGGAGGCGCCGCGGGCCCTCCTCTGGGAGCCCATGCCGGGCGCTTGCGGTCGTGGGACCCTGTGGGACTGAGCCTCCGTTCCTCCTGCAATGCTTCCCGGGGCGCACGGCGGGCGCCCCCGGTGTTGTTCTTCCCACAGTGGACGGTGGAGCTTCTTTCATTATAGGACCTTTTATTTTTTCTTAAAGTCTTTTTAAAAATTTTTATATATTTTCAAGTGCGTTTCTTTTTTAAGAATACTTAAGTTGCTTACAACACACGATGAGAGGAAAACAACAGTGCTTTGAGTGTTTCCTTTGAAAATGGACTGTTTTGAGGGTTAAATTAAGATCATTAAAAGCGTAACGTGGTGCCCCCAGTCACTGTAATTCATTTGACTGTTAGCGTCACAAATCTTTCCCACCTACCTGGGAAATGAGTGATTCATTCAGGTAGCTCCCGGCTTTCGGCTTCTTTTCCTGTGTTTCTCTGGCTATTAGGAAATAAGTGATTACTTTTTCACATACTTACCAGCAAAAATATTCCTCCCAAACCAGTTTTGCACTTACACAGAGTTGTGCACTTACACAGAGCAGGTGTAGGACAGGAGGACGGTGACCGCTGCCGCTGAAACCCCCAACCCAGCGGGGCCATGCAGACCCCAGCCCCAAAACCTGCTGGGCCTCCCCCCTTGCTCTGGCTCATGCTCGTGCTTTCCCGAGCCACCATTTGACCTCGGTCCCGTTTCCCAGTCACCCCAGGGCTGGACCATGTCCCTCAGCTGCCGTCCCCGCGCACAGCCTCTCTCTGACCCTTGATGCTCTGCTTCCTGCTCTCCGATCAGCAAGGGCCTCTCCTGGCCTCTGTCCCTTCACTCAGCGTGGCCTCTGTCCCTCCGGTTTTCCAGGTGTCCCCTCCCGTGTGTGGATCCGGGCCTGCATGGCCCTGACCTGGAGCTTGGGGCCTGGCCTGCGGCGTCTGGCACTGTCCGTGCTGGTGAGGGGGAGCCCCGGGAGCTGCCTGCATCCCCTCCCTGCCTGTTACAGCGTGGGACAGCCAGTGGGGTCTGTGCCACCTGTGTGTCCCCGTCTTCTGTTGCACGCGCGGAGAAGTGAGCACTCTTGGCTGAATGGCCTCTGCGTGGTTTCGGAGCCCAGGCAGCACGCACCTGTCCCCGATGCAGCCCCCTCTCTCCGTTTCAGTGAAGCGCTATATCCGGAAAGGCATCCCCCTCGAGCACCGGGCCCGTGTCTGGATGGGGGTGAGTGGAGCCCAGGCCCAGATGGACCAGAACCCCGGCTATTACCAGCGCCTGCTCCAGGGCGAGCACAACGACAGGCTGGAGGAGGCCATCAGGACAGGTGAGCCGCCCAGGCGGGGGTGTGGGGTGGGCAGCCGCCCAGGACAGTCACGTTCCAGAGGAAACACACATTGTTCAAGAGGCACCTGCTGCTTTGAAGTGGAAATTTTATTTTTCTGAAGGAAAACCAAAGCTTAAGCATTCCCAGGGGAGAACAGTGGTTCCCTTGCTTCTGCAAACCGCGGCATGCCCAGCCAGCAGGTAGGGACCGGGGCGAGGGCAGGACCAGGTTTCTTCCGTGGGGAGCTAGAAGTGGGGGGGCGCGGCTGCTGAGCCAGCAGTCAGGACTGGGCGGTAATCGGTAATCGCTTGAGGGATTTGTGCTGATGGCAGTGCCCTTGGGCTTAGACGCAGTGCTGATGCACACCGTGGTGGCCCGCCCCTGTGTCATACTCGCGTCATCGTCTGGGAGTTGATGGGTCCCCAGATTTTCTCAGTGGTACACCAGTTCATACATGTGCAGAGTGCCCCGACGATCTAAACTGAATAATTAGATTTTGAGGGTGTGTCTTTGCCTTTCTGACTTTGTTTTTGAGAGATACAAACTTAAACACCAAATCTTTCTGATTTTTATTTAACTTTTATTTATTTCAGAGAGAGTGTGCACACATGAGTGAGGGTGCAGGGTGGGCCGGGGGGAGCAGGCTCCCCGCCAAGCAGGAGCCCGACGTGGGGCTCGATCCCAGGACTCTGAGACCGTGACCTGAGCCGAAGGCACAGGCTTCACCGACTGAGCGGCCCAGGGGCCCCACAAAATAATTTTTTGAAACACAGTTACTTGAATTTGCCGAGAGGTGGGGCTCCTGGTGGAGTAAGGTTGGGCTGTGTGCCCAACCCAAGGAAGGGGGTCCCTCAGCCCTCAAGGCAGCCCCCACACCAGAGCCTGGGGCAGGAGGGGCCGCCGGGATGCCTCACGTTGGGGGAGGCCTGGGGTCCACAGGAGGGCACGCGTGTCAAATACAACAGAATGCTGCTGCTGTCGGTTAGAAAAGTGAATTTAAAGGCTCTGTTTAGTGCCGGCATTTTCGGATAAAAATTTTTTTCCGGGGGCGCCTGGGTGGCTCGGTGGGTTGGGCCGCTGCCTTCGGCTCGGGTCATGGTCTCGGAGTCCTGGGATCGAACCCCGCATCGGGCTCTCTGCTCTCTAGGGGAGCCTGCTTCCTCCTCTCTCTCTCTGCCTGCCTCTCTGCCTGCTTGTGATCTCTCTGTCAACTAAATAAACAAAATCTTTAAAAAAAAAAAAAAATTTTTTTTTCCGCAAAGTGTACGTAACAGAATTTACGTCCCATCTTCCCAAACTGAAACTCCGTCCCCATTAACCGGCAATGACTTCGCTGCCCCTGCCCGGCCCGGCCTCCTCCTTTCTGTCCCAGCTGAGGGACACAGGCAGAACCTGCACTGCTGGGTCTGGCTCGCTAGGCTCAGCCGGGGCCTCGAGGTCGCCCGTGTTGCCGCACGTGTCAGGGTGTCCTTCCTTCTCAGGGCTAAGTACCGTTGTCGGGACAGAGCCCGTTCCGGGCCGGGTGACGGGCGCTCTGGTCGCCGCCTGCTCACGCGAGTCTGCTGTCAGGCACCGGAGTCCGAGGACACCTGCTTCCCGTGCTTCGGATGGCCCGGAGGTGGGACTGCGGGGTCCCGTGGTCGTTCGGAGGGACCAGGCGGAGTCCCGTCGCGGGGCAGAGGCTGAAGCATCCACGCCGTGTGCGAGCACAGCCGGACCGCCCCTTCCACACCTCCTCCCAGGATGGGAAGAGAAAGGTTTCAAAATGAGGAAAAGCTCCCAGTGGAGAACAGTGTCGAGGAACCAGCACAGCTGGTCACTCCAGAGTCTGGATTAGTGAAAGACCCCGGTTCCGTCCTGGGGGATGCTCGCTCCGGAACGTTCAGAATTCTGGAGCAGAAGCTTCTCTGGAAACAAACATGCGATGGGGAGCACCGTGCTTCGGGGCGCTGGGCTCGTGGTGCGCTCAGGGCTGGGCTCTGACGAGCAGGTGTCCCGCTCGGTCTCCGCGGGCAGGGACAGCGGCCCTGTCCGTCTGTGGTGGGGACAGCGGCACAAGCCAAGGCGGGCTCCGGGTGCCTTCGATGGCGCAGCGGGGGGCCGAGGGTCCGGCGTGTCCCCATCCGCTCCGGTGATGCAGCCAGCGTGGCGGCCAGTGCACCGTCATCCCACGTGGGAGAAAGACACGAACCCGCTCCCTCCCAGCCGTGTCAGGGCTGACACCCAGGAGCAGGGTCGGGTCTGCACGGGCTGTCCGGTGCGGGGCAGAAGGCCGGCCGGGGCGTGCCAAGGGCGGAGAGAGGCCGGCCGGGGTATGCGAGGGGTCTGTCCTCTGTGTTCACTCACGTCCTTTAGCTCTGACAGGGCTGCTCAGTGGGCTTCTGTGTTCAGGATTGGGAGGATTTTCCAGTGCTGTGAGCGGAACTCACCTGGCACCTGGGGTCCTGGAGTTGAGTGCCTCCCGGCTGGGGGGGATGTTGGGGGCGGCGGGACCAGCGCCCTCGGGGAGAATGTGCTGTTGGGGCCGCCTGGGCTGTGGGGCTGCGGCTGGACAGGGAAGGTGACCCCACCGGTACCTTCATCTTCTGTCCTGACTCTGTGAAGGGCGACCAGGGTCTCCAGACGGGGTTTTAGACCTTGTCGGGGGTAGACGCAGCGACTGCTTTGTCCATCACGGGCCAGTGTTCTGTCTCTGCCCTCTGGATGATTCCGTGTCGTGAATTTCCCTGCAGATATGAACAGGACCTTCCCGGACAACATAAAGTTCCGGAAGAGCGCAGACCCCTGCTTACAGAAGACCCTGTACAACGTGCTGCTGGCCTATGGGCGCCACAACCAAGGTGTGGGCTATTGCCAGGTAAGCGCCAGGAAACACGTGCCAGCGGGGAAGGTGAGCGCGAGCAGTGCCCCAGTCCGCGGCAGGGACATTCTCCTGGGCAGGCTAAGTGCCCAGTCCTGCTCCTGAGCTCCCAGCTGCAGAGACCCAGGCGCAGGGCTGTGCCGTTGGAATCAGTACCGCACCTGTTCGGGATTTCTTTTGGTGCCAACCGTAGGCAGTGGTGAGGCTGGGGAGCAGACGGGAAGTCCCTTACGTGAGCGGACCTCCTGGCCTCAGTGTAGGGAGTGCGTGTGCACATGCCTATGGGTGTGTGTGCACACGCTCGCGTCTGCACGTTTGCATGTGTGTGCGTGTATGTGCGCGCGCGTGCACACGACGTGGTGGGAGTCCCTTCCACATCGCTTCGGGCACCCGCTCTCCCCGGTCTTCCCCGCAGCTGCAGGTAACGGCCTCATTACCTGTCGACGGCTGTCACGTCGTGCGGGTGTGCGGCAGGAAGCAGCAGGCCACGTGTGGACCGATCCTTCCTCCCAGACGTCACTCTGCCCGGGGGGTGGGGAGGGAAAGAGAGAAGGGCCCAAGGGTCTGTGGGGGGACACGTGGGCCTTCCCGCATGGGCCTGTGCTGCTGGGGCGTGTGAGCGGTCCGTCGTCAGCCCGGCACATGGTGCCCGTGGCCTCCAGGCTTGGAGGGGTGGTGCGGCTTCCTGCTCCCCGAGCTCCGGCCTCCGCAGCGTCCTGGTCATGCCGGAATTCTCAGGTGGGAAGTCTGCAGCGTCCTGGTCATGCCGGAATTCCCGGGTGGGAAGTCTGCATCGGGCGGTTGGATCGCGGACAGCCGTGGGCGAGGCTCGGGTGGGGGCGGGGTGGGGCCTTTCGCAGAAGCCGGTGGCAGAGGTGGGCGCGGTTCGGAGCCTCTGGCCCTTGCTGTAGGCAATGCCACTGGGGAGGAGGCCTGGCTGGGCTCCTCTCACCATCGTCACTTAGGGTCCTGGACGAGGACCGGCCTGGAGGGGCTGTGGAGAACTCGCGGTCGGGAAACCACCTGTCCACAGTCTGGCCTCTGCTCTTGTGGTTTTTAGAAACGGCTCCAGACTCTGAGCTGCTCGGGGCTGTGAGCGTGGGTGAGGCCAGAGCTCGTGGGTCACCGGGTTTGGGGTGTGTGGGAAGCCGTCCGAGCGGGTGGCGGGCGGGGTCCCTCGGAGGCCTGCAGAGGGCTGCTCCCGGTCCCTGGCCCCTGGTGGTCCCTGACGTGGGCCTCCCACGTCATGTGGCCTCTCCCTGTGTGGGGTGTGTGGGTCCACACTCCTCTTGCTGGCTGTGAGAAGTTGGAGAAGCTAACTGGTCCCCCGTGACTGGAGGGGAACATGCGTTTTTGAGAACATGGAGACACGGTGGAGGGGGTCGCGGAGGGCGGGTCTGAAAGGCTGTCGCGCCGACGCCATCCTGCGGTGGGCCAGCCCCGGCCTGCAGCTTGTGGGCCCCGTGACGTCCCCCTCCCTGCCACAGAATGTGTCCGCACCACGTGTCAGGCATGTTCCTCATGGTTTGGGGGAGACTTGGTTCCGGGTCTGGTTTCCTGTCTGATGCAGCCACGTGTCTGACCGTCGTAGGATCTGGTTGTGAGCCGGTGTCGTCCCGAGGTGGAAGGCAGGCAGAGAGACCGCAGGCTTCCAGGCCAAGCCCCCAGGAGCTCCCTCATACTGAGCAGTGTTTCTGCCTCTTGTGCCCAGTGTGTCACCAGAAGGCCACCCCAGGGTGGCGCAGGTTTCAGGGGCGAGTGAGGGACACGCAGCTCGTGGTGAGCAGCTGAAGGTCCCGGAGCCTCAAGGGGCTCAGATGTCCTCTTCTCCCTTCAGGGCATGAATTTCATAGCTGGATACCTGATCCTCGTCACCAAGAGTGAGGAAGAGTCCTTCTGGCTGTTGGATGCTCTCGTGGGAAGGATACTGCCGGGTACGTGGACTGCTTCCGCCATGGGCCCTCCCCGACCCAGGCCCGCTGCCCTCACGGCGGCCGCGCTGGCTCGGAGGGTCCGTCCGGGAGCGGGATGGGCTTATGGGGAAAATGAGCACCGGAGGGTCTTTGTGCCGCTTCTGCACGCTGCGTCTCGGAGCTGGAATCCTCAGTGTTGGGGGCCTGGCCCCGGTTCCCCACCTGAACCATCGTGGGGAGCGTCATGGACCCCCGTGCAGGTGCCGCGGCCTGCGGGGGAGGCCGCCTGGCCCTGTGCAGACTTGGTCCCAGGGTAGAGACCCGTCCTCAAGAGCCTGCAGCACTGCTGCTGTTACGGAGGTGGAAATCGTTCTTTTCACGCGTTCTACTTTTCTCTTTATTAACTAATTTTAACTATTTTAATTGTAGGTGAATCATCCGTTTACTCGTTAATAAACACCACTGGTTTTGGCTGTGCACGGTGTAGATGGAGCTCGCTCTGGGGAGAGACGTGGCGAGAGCTGTGGCGGGTCGGGGAGGACCTGTGCCCTCTGCGGCTGTGACGGGGGTGGGGACCGCGCACAACCTCCCGCGGGGCCAGGCTGTGGACTGGCGTCCCCCCGCAGTGTGGGCCATCCGTGTGGCGGTGGGCACTGTGGCTTCTGCCCCGTGGCACACAGCACGTATTGGCGTCAGGACAGCCGTGCCACACAGCCTGATGAGCGAATCCATTTTACAGATGAGGACACTTGAGGCCTCCACCCCATGATTGTTAGACCTTGGCCCGTGTCTCACGAAAGCGTGAACCAGAGTGGCTTCGGGACAGGAAGGAAGCCTCCCGATGGGGCCTCCTCTTGCTCCTGTGCCGCCATCCACGAGGGTACCAGCACCCGTGCCGGTGACCTGCCGTGATGGGTCACCTTTGAGGAAGGCACGAGCCCTGGATGTCCTGGCTTCATCGTGGGGGCCTGCGCTGTGGGGGCAGGAACAGCGAGGAAGCTGGGGCAGGATGCCTGATGCTGTGGTGACAGAGACTGAACTGTGAGGCATGTTTGCGTCCTGGACCGGGACGTCTGCACGGGTTTGTCGAGAACCCGCCGCGTCCCAGCGTTGCTCTGGGGGCCTGGACTCGTCTGGGAAGGGAGCGTGAACGGCCTGCCCTGGCTCAGTGCGTCCCAGGAAAGCAGAGCCGGTGTCAGGAGGTGACAAGCACCAACTTGGAGAACAAGAGGGGCTCCCGGCTGACCCTCTGTCAGCCCGTGAGGTCATTTCCTACTATCACAAGGTGCCGTTGAACCAAACCGCAGTATGCACAGGTCTTGATTCAAAACCAAAATATCCAAATAGAATGGCCAGGATGGAAGGGGACAGGAGGCGTGGCGCATGGGCCAAACAAGCGGGACGGCTCCAACGCCAGCATCCCGCGAGGAGTTGAGGTGGCAGCCAGGATAGACTAGAACCTCGGCCCGTGCCGCGCGGTCCCCTCCTCCCTGCAGGCAGGTGCCCGTGCCGCGCGGGCTCCTGGGGCTCGTGTGCACACGCGCTCACACACAGACCACACAGCGAGGACCGGCAACATGGAACAGGAGCCGTCGGAAAGATAAGCAGACATGAAAGCTGTTTTTTTTGAAAAACCAATAGAACAGGCAGGACTGGCCCAGAAAAAGTGGGCGAGGTGGGGTGCCTGGGTGGCTCAGTGGGTTAAAGCCTCTGCCTTCGGCTCAGGTCATGATCTTAGGGTCCTGGGATGGAGCCCCGCGTCGGGCTCTCTGCTCGGCCTGCCCCCCCCCCCCCCCCCCCCCCCCGCCTCTCTGCCGGCTTGTGATCTCTGTCAGTCAAATAAATAAATGAAATCTTAAAAAAAAAAAAAAAGTGGGCGAGGTATTTAGAAATGAAGAGAGTGCTGGAGTTTGGGATTAAGAACTCCAAGCGAGTATGAATAAAACGAAGAGGCCGGATGGAGAACTGCAGAAACATACCTCACAAAGCTGACGGAGGGAGCCGAGACGTCTGGGAGGACCCGCGGGCAGACACGCACAGTCGCATCAGACCTCAGAGGAACTGATCATTTCTTCATCGGTTTTGCAGAAAATAGAGGAAGAAACGCCCGTCTGCTCCCGACACGGGGCCCGCAGCACCTCTCCCCATGCCGGCCGACCTCGTGTGTGCACACAGCCACACTGGCAGAGCGGCAGCCGCCGGGATCCTGACGGGCTACGGGGTCTCTCGGGATGCAGGAAGGCCTGAGAAGCTCGAGGGCAGCGTGAAGCCCCCCAGGCTGGAAGGAGCCCCGGGCACGCGTCCAGATGCTGTGATTGTGGAACGCTGTGGGGTCCGGTCAGTGGTGGACAGCACGGTGCTGAGGCAGAAACGGGTCTGCCCACGCGCAGGCCTGCGGGAGCCAGCTCGGGAGACAGGTCAGTGGGGAAAGACCGTCAGCGGCTTCGTGTGCCAGCCGTCTGCCTGGAAGGAAACAAGGTTAGACCCTTGTTTCTATTCTGGGTGAACTCAGGACATATGTGGAAAAGCCAGACTTGGACCTGAGAACATAGACGTACAGTGGCTTCACGAGTGCAGAGCACAGACGACGTTCTTGCACGAAATTCTGCAGAAGATGTGATTGATAATCTCAGTTACTTGAAAATGAAGAACCGACTTTGACACGAGACACCGTAAGCAAAGCAAAGGGAGAAGCTGCAGTATGGGGGAAGGCGTCTGTGACCGTGAAACTGCGCGCGAAGACTTCCTACACTTCAGCAGCAGCAGCTCCGTAGAAATCGTCCGTTGGCAACAGAGGGGTCCGCGTGGCTGGCCGGGGTCTCTGGCGAGCACAGACTGGGCCCGACGCACACGGCAGAGCCTCAGCAGCCAGTGGCCACCGCCCTGGGCCAGTGGCACCCCAGTTTCAGAATTGGCGTAGGGTAGGAGTCATGTTCCGGGACGCCAGCGCAGGGTGTCTGTGCGCACTCAGCTGGGCCCTGCACGCCCAGACCTGGCCGCTCACACCAGCCACGGGGACACGGGCAGCCTCTTCTGGGTCATCACCACTGAAACCCAGACATCTAGCGGGAGGAGGAGGGGACAGGTGGAGGCCTCCTGGGCCTGCAGCTCCCAGGTGCTGACAGCGCTGTGACCTCGGAAGTGCGGGGAGAGCGCTGTCGCAGGGTGGTCTCCTGAGAAGCGGGTGGCAGCTGTTGCCCCTGCAGGCACAGGCAACAGGTGGTTCGTAGCCCAGCGCAAGCGAAGTGGCCCCGGGGAGGACCCAAGCAGCGCAATGGGGAGGCTCAGGGGTCCCGGGTCGCAGAGGGGCGGGCCTGCGTCTCGAGTCCCCAGGATGAACACACCCAGGACAGTCGTCCCTGCTGCACTTTGTGGGCTGTGCCCCCTGCCTGTGGGCCGTGCCCCCTGCCTGTGGGCCGGAGAGCACGGGTTTTGGAATTTGATTCTGCCTGCTCGGACCTGGCTTGGCCACTCGCTCCTCAGCTGTTGTCCCACGGCCCTTTCTTGTCTGGGCGCCCGCCCCCCACCACCCGGCTCAGCCCTCTGATGCGCCGACGTGGCCATGAGGCCGTTTGCAGAAGCATGCCGCCCCCGGGACAGCCTGACGCCGGGCCCGGTTGCGGGCCACGTAAGAGGCTCCTCTGTTCCGGGCTTCACTGAGCGCTCGGGCTTCACTGAGCGCTGGGTCTTCTGCTCAGACGGGCCAGAGGCACAGGGTCCGTCTGCCTTCGCATCCCAGTGCGATGCAGGGAGGAGGGAGGGTCTAGGCGCTCCTGCCCTGGTGACTGGCCTGGGCCCGTGGCCGTCTGGGCACGTGTTCAGCGGCTCTATTTTTGGAGGCTGCTGTAAGCCTCTCTGGGGCCGGGAACGAGGCCACCGTGCTCAGGAGCTGAGCAAACCCTCTTACCCGTCCAGGGCTTAACCCCGGCTCCCTCGGGATGTGCCGCAGAGAACTGGGTCGCCAGCAGGACACTTGAAGGGACAACAGAGACTGTTGTTGTCTCGCCGGGGTGGGGGGGCGGGGTGGCCGGGGTGGTGTTCAGTGTACGAGGAGCCAGATGCAGGAGGAGGACGGGGGCAGGGAGAACTGAGGATGCCTGGTGTTTTGCCACCGACTTGGCGTCTATGAAATCATTTCCAGGGTCCTTTATCACACGTGGCCTGGCTCGGTAGATCTGTAACGTGATGTGGCATCGTGTCCGTTTCGTAGGGACCCTGTTTTCACCGGGCCAGTTAATGAATGTCTCGTCCCTTCGCCACGGTGAACGGCCACGGCGTGCAGGGGCAGCCCGACCGGAAACTGGCACAGTGCCGCGTTTCCGTATTTTACTATGTAGGTGACTTCCTGAATTTCAGTAGTAAAACTAAACGTTAAAATATAACACGTCGCTTGATGAGCTAGAAAGGATGGGCGCACATCCCGAGAAGACGTGCAGTGGGAGGTGTGGTTCCGTCTCGCAGCCAAAGGTGCCCAGGCCCTGGGACGGCGGAAATCACCGGCACGTGTCATGTTTTCTGGGCTCCTGTGGCCACCGAGGAATGTCTCCAACATCAAGCCGTCGGTTTTCCTTGGGAATGAACAGGACAGACTGTAGACCTCACACTGTCTTTCTGTGGTCAGAGGGCTCCTTCTAGAATTCTGGGAAATGTACTGTCCTGGGCCCTCGACTGTGCAGACAGCATGTAGGCCTGCTTGTGAGGTGACAAGCCCGTCGGGCTCCACGTGTAGACATCTGTGGCCAGAGTCTTGTCCTCTGCGAGGCTGCCTGGACCCATGGCTGCCCTGGCTCCCGGGAAGGGCCTCCCTGTTGCACTGTCCCCAAGGGTGCGGTGGCCCCAGGCCTGCCCCTGTGCCCCATAGCCTCCTCTAGCTGGGCAGCGGGTGGGTGGGCCCCGGCGGCTGGGTCCGACTTCCCGTGTATGTTGGCTCCGGGGCCTGCTGTTTGCTGAGCACAGTGTCCTCGTGGTTTGCCCACGTGGTAGCAGGTGTCGGGGTCCCCTTCCTAAGGCTGGGTGCTAACCCACTGTGTGCACAGTGCACCTCTCTTACGTGCTCCCCTGGGGGCACACACAGACTTGCGTCCTCCGTGCGGTGGTCATGGGAACCACTGCTGTGAACACGCTGCGGGGAGACCCCACAGCCAGTGGACTCTCGCTGCCGCACGGCAGGGCCTCGCTGTCCAGAGGGGCTGCTCTGGGAGCCGCTCCAGGGCTCCTGGCGTCTTGCCGCGGAGGCCCCCTGGAACGCTCCGCCTCCCCTCCCAGTGGAGAGGCGGCCAGGGACGCAGTGCCTGGGTTTCATCTCTCCGTGCGGCAGATTACTACAGTCCTGCCATGCTGGGCCTGAAGACGGACCAGGAGGTCCTGGGAGAGCTGGTGAGGACCAGGCTACCAGCGGTGGCAGCCCTGATGGACGGGCACGGTGTCCTGTGGCCCCTGGTGGTGTCGCGCTGGTTCATCTGCCTGTTTGTGGACATCCTGCCCGTGGAGGTGAGCGCGGCATGTGCCTTGCTGGGACCGGGGCTGCCTGGGTCGCCCCCCCGCCCCGTGACACGCTGCATGCTTCTCTGCAGACTGTGCTCCGGATCTGGGACTGTTTGTTTAACGAAGGGTCCAAGATTATCTTCCGAGTGGCCCTGACCCTGCTCAAGCAGCATCAGGCCTTTATTTTGGAAGGGACCAGCGTGGTGGACATCTGCGAGAGGTTCAAGGCCATCACCAGGGGCAGTTTCGTGACCGAGTGCCACACCTTCATGCAGGTGAGTGTCTGGGCGGGCGGTAGTCTGGGGGAGAACCCTTCTGCCTGTCCCTGGCCCCTCTGGGCCTCTGCCTCTGCTGGCCCCTCAGACCTCGTAGACCCACCTCCTCCTGGAGCCCCATGACAATGGGTGCCACCCCTGCTGGTCTGCAAGCCCCGTGGTGGCTCCAGGGCGGCTGGGATCCCCATTGGGCCGGCCCAGGTTCCCCGGGTCAGAGCACAGTGCCTTCTGATCCGCTGTCCTCTTGGAGCCCTTCCCTTGCTGCTGGTGTCTCTGGTTCTGGATGGCTGTCCTTAGCCCCACTGGGGTCTGTCCTCCCCTGAAGGGCAGTGCCCTCAACAGGGTCCTGGACCCGGTACGGCCGTGTAGACCACTCACCTGCTGAGTGAGTGAAGCTGGAGCTCAAAGGACTGACAGGCCTTCCAGGAGGCCGCGGAGGGAGGCTGGGAAAGGCAAATTTTGGGTTTCCACTTTCCCACCCGAAAGGATCACCGGTGCAGGGGCGGGTGGCGGAGGGTGCTGGGAAGGCCAGGGGCCGGGGGGTTCTGCCCTCCGCCCAGGAGGGAGCAAGCCGCTAGCTCCACTTGGGCACTGGCTGCTGGCTGTCAGGTGGCCTTGTGCCAGCGGAGCGCCTAGAGTCGAGGATGCTGCCCCTGCACAGAGCCGGAGAGCAGCTGGGGTCTCTGCCCAAGGGCTCGGAGGATGGGGGCCCCTGCTCAGGCCAGCCCCGAGGACATGGGATGAGCTGCGTGTGGCTGCTGTGTTGGGGACCCTGGTCACCAGGGGCTGTAGCGTTTTCTGAATGGTGGGGTACAGACGGGGAGCAGGACGGCAGCTGACTCACTGCGAGGCTGGTCATGCAGGACCGGATGCCTGGTCCAGAAGGGATTCTCGGCCTTGCCAGCCCTTTGGCGCCAGCGTTGGGAGCGGCCGAGCGGCAGACGGCAGGGGCAGGCATCTGCGAACGAGTCCGATCCTGTGTCCAGGAGTTCATAGGAGCTGGAGGCTGCCCTGAATGGGGCACCGGGGGGTTTCTGTTTGAGATGGGGCTCTCCCTAACACAAGTGATGGCTGGGGGGCCTCTGGGCCCTTCCCAGGTGTGCAGCCATCACCCCTGCACCCACCCAGCAGCCCCCCGTGTGTGCGTGTGGGGTCGCCTCCGTGTGGGACTCTAGCCGAGGACACACACGCTCCGGGGCACGCGCACGGGTGTTCCCAGAGCTGCCCGAGGGCAGTGTGGACGAGCAGGAGGCCTGCTCCCCAGTGTGCCCGCGGGGACACGACACCGCCGCGCGGCCTCACAGAGTGCAGACACACCCCTTCGAGGGATGTCGTCAGGGACACGGCCCTGGGACAGGGAGTTGAACGTGCGTTTTTGCATTAAAGCACGTCAGCACGGTGACTGCAGCTCATGTGTCGGTCCGCACAGGGACATCTAGAATGTTCAGGAGAATAAAGTGGTGACCTCGCACGAGCTCAGGGCAGCCATCCTGGTGTGGAAACAGCTCCACGCCGATGTCCCGGCGCCCGGCAGAGGACGCGCCTGACCCCTTCGGGAACGTGGCCAGTTAGAACGCAAACACTCCACCCGGGCTTAGGGCCGGCTGAACACGCACCTGTGGGAGAACTTCTGAAATTTCTTTAAAAAAACCTTTTTAATGCTAGCCTTGCGTGTGGCCTAGTTTGTAACTGAATTTCTCAGCCATAACCGCGGAAGTAATTACGGAGCGTAAAGGGTGTGACGGCCTGGCCCTCTGCTCCCCACGGGCTCGGCCAGGCAGCCTCGGAGCCGCCCCGGGCCCTCGGGGTTCAAGGGTCTGCACGGGCGCCCCTCCCCCGCACAGCGCAACAGCAGGGCTGAGGCCCCCGGCCGCTGCTGGCAAGCCCTCACCTGGGTGGGTGGGGACGTGCTGAGCTGGTTTCTTAAATGGATTCTGTTTCTGTTCCAGAAGGTATTCTCCGAGCCTGGGAGCCTGTCCATGGCCACGATCAGCAGGCTGCGTGCGAGCTGCCGGGCCAGGCTGCTGGCACAGGGCTGACCGGGACCCTGCCCGCGGCCACCGCGAGGCCTCGTTTCCAGGGCCCACCGGCTTTTGCTGCTTCCCCTTTTTAGTGCTGTGAATACTCGGTCTCTACACTGGTGACTCTTTAAAAAGAACGATTTGGCATAACGTCCTTCTCTAACTCAGTTATGGCCCAGAAAGTCCTAAATTTCTAAAACTCTATTTGTACTTGAGACGTTCATCCATGAAACGCGAGACGTACGTATTTGTAATAAACTGTGGCAACACTGTGAGTGTGCGGTTCTCTGTCCACTCGTCGGCTGGCTGAACGCGGAAACAGGCCGCAGACTGTCGGCGGCGTGGCTAGCGCCCCCGAGTCCTCTGTCCCCTCCCAGGGCACGTCTAGCGGTCCCCGAGGTCTGTGCACGTGGCATGTGACCGCTTTAGATGGGCATTGCTCAAAACGGCTTCCGGAATTACCACGTCCCGCGAAGAAAGCAGACGAAGGAGGTGAGCCTTGGGGACGGCAGACGGCCGCCTTGGGCCCGTGAGTGCCAGCCGCAGCTGCGGTCACCCCGGGTCCCTAGACAAGACCCCTTTCTCCCTGGCCCCGACGGGGGCACTGGCTCTGGCTGCGGAGAGAGCTCCGCATGGGAGAGGGGTTACCTGTCGGCCCCCCTGCGGCTGCGGGTCACCCCTAACAGGAAGTGTAGCCAAGGCACTGAATGATGGCGGCTGTGCCGACGGCAAGGGCCTGGCTGTCCTCGCTCCCAGCGCAGCCACAGCAGAGGCCCGGCCCTTCCCTGGTGTCACAGAGGACACTGCACCGGGACCAAACTGCACGCAGATGCTCTCATAGGGAGGAGGTGGTGGCTAGGGCAGGTGGCCGGAGTCTGGGGAGTCCCGGAGGCTGCCCCCGTGGCACAGTCCAGTGCGGGCTCGCCAGCGTGGGGCGGGCACAGCTGCCCGGCGAGGCCTGACACACAGCAGCCGCGTGGCCCCGACCCCCTCCCAGGAAGCAGCTCTGGGGCAGGCCCCGGTGCAGGTGTGCAGGCGCTGCTCTGGGATGCTGTGGTCCCAAGGCTGCTTGGCAGGAAGACCGGCGTCAGCCTCAGTCCCCACCGGCAGGTCCACGAATCCTTGGAGGGCACAGGTCTTTGCTTTAAGAAGATTTAAACAAACCTTAGGCTTCAGCCCCTGCTCTGAAAGTGCGGAGCACGGCGGGAGGGGCCTCCTGCTGCCACCACCCGGGGGGAGATGAAGGTGGCCCAACTCCGAAGGGGGGGCCGCAGGGTCCTCCTCGTGGTGCGGGTGGGACGCCGCGCGCCGCTGCTGAGTCCCAACTGCCGCTCTCCTTCCAGCCGCCCAGCAGACCAGCGGCAACACCAGCTCTCCCGACAGCCGGGGGCACGGCGCACACCCGCCCGCCACCGCCCCTCTTCATCGAGACCTCGCGTGAGAGCAGACAGAAGCACGAGGTCCAGACCAAGAAAGAAAGACACGTTTTATTAGCATTGTTACAGCGACGCGCGACGTGCAGGGTCCTCAGTGCACAGCCGCCCGAGCGGCGAGCGGGTAGAGCGGAGCGCGATACCCAGTGTTTACACAAGTGCAGCACAGGCTCCCCCTGGACCTCCAACAGAAGACTGAGAATCACTGTACAAAAAGGTAAATAAAAATAACACCCATTTATCTATTTTAAAAAAGTGCCGGCTCTCGAGTGGCAGAGCACGGAAAGGCCGGAGGCGCAGGGGCGCCCGTGCCCAAGGACTGAGAGGCGCGGCCTGGGGGCAGGTGGCCGGGCCTGTCCTGGCTTCTACAGCTTAATTGAAGCGTTCCAGATTTTCACCTTTTGGAGTACTTCTGTTTTAAGATCTTTCTCTACTAGTTTCTTAACCAGACTAACACCTAGCTAGCCCTCCTCAGAGGTCCTAAGGTCGAGACCAGGGACCCCCCTTGGCGAGGCTGAAAATCTCAGTCAAGAACAAAGAGGCCAAACACCAGAACCTTAAAAAGCCAAATACAGCGGAGCCAGTGCCCTCTCAGAAAAGCACTCTTACCCTCCCCACCTTAAAGTTCTACTTTGGTAAATATTAACGCTGAACCATTAGCAAAATATTTAACCCAGTTAGCAAAATTAATGCCGTCATTTCAGAGTTACTCTTGTGCATAGTAAATGTTGCAAGATGAACTTCACATTGGATAAAGCAGATTTGAAAATCAGTTTGCGAGAAAGTGTGTCTCCCTTAACACCCATCTAAGCTCAGGGGAACGAGCAGAGGCCCCGCAGCGGCGGCCGGTCCGCACCTCTAGCGGCCGCGCTAGATGGTCTGGTAGCCGGCGTGGCTCCTCTTCCTGCCGATGAGGTAGGCGATGAGGACGATGAGGACCAGCCCGGCCAGGGCGCCCCCCACGGCAATGGGGATCAGCATGCTGTTCTCGTCCAGCTGGCACTCCTCCACTGCGGAGACACGGAGCGCACACGCTCGCGCCAGCTGTCCCTGCGCGACCTCATGGGCGCCCCCCGCCTCGCCCCTGCCCACAGCCCGGCCGGGAGGACGGAACAGCACAGACTCATCGACTACCGCCCGGACACCGCAGCCCGTGCGCCAGCATTCCCATATCCTGCTTTCACGGGGGAAGACACATGCCAGCTCTTAACATGACCTCCGTTCCCATGGCACCCCGTGCCCACGTCTGCGACGCTGGGCCTCTCAAAAGCAAGGCGATGTGGGAAGGGGAATCCGCTCGGCTGAGTGCCTCAGCTGCCCACCCAGGAGCACAGCCGGCAGGCCCGTGCGGAGTCTGCAACGCTGCCCTCGGGGCTACTCACCAGACCCAAACTTGTCGCCTTGCACCTGGAATGCCTGGACCCACACTTTGAAGATGTTGACGGAAAAGGCCTCTGTGACCTGCACGCGCTCCTCAGCGTTACACTTGTACGAATTCCCGATGGAGGCCTGAAGGGCCCTCAGAGAGCTGTTGGAGGCCTTAAAGGTGGGCTCTGCAAAGGCAGGGGAGAGTAAGTGCTCTGGGGCGCCTGGATAGGCCGGGGGGGGGGGTACTGTGGGGGTCTCACCTCTGGCGTCAGGAAGAGTCATATTCAACTGGATTCCTTGCAGGAAATACCGGCTTGTACTCGCGTTCTTAAAGAGAAGACGAGAGCCCTGAACCACCCGCCAGACTCCCGCGCTAGCGTCCCACCTGAAGGGCCGTCTGGTGGCACACCGGACCCTGCGTTCCTCGCTCCAGCATGAGGCTGTGGGGTGCGCCGTCTGTTAAAGGCATGGCATGCCCCTCGAGAATGAAATGTGGATTAGTTCCCTCTAGACCTTTTTACAGAATCAGCCTCTGCTCAAACGGGGACTGCAGGAGTCCTACGCTACGGAAGCGGGCGTTTCCCAATGCCGCCGCGCTCGTCAGCAGAACCCCAGCGGCCGCTTGGCTCATCTGCGGTGTGTGTGGTCAACACCCACCGAGGGCTCGGCTCCGCTCCCTGTGTGGTTTCGCTAACATCACAGAGGAGGCGTCCCCGATGGGCGTAAGGAAGGGAAGAGCCAGGAGCAGAGCCGCTGTCCTGCCACCAAGTGCGCGGACGACAGTGCGTGAGGGGGAGGCTGGGCCGAGCGCGGCGGGCTGCTCCCCCGTCTGCCATGTCAAGAACCAACCAAGACGCTCCTTCACGGAAACAGGACGGGAGCAGGGGCGAGGGCCCAAAACACCAGCAAGGAAAAGAAGGCAGAGAAAGCAGACGCCCCCTTCCTCACAAAGGCAGAGCTGTGGACTTCCGCCCCCACCAGCGCACAGGGCCCTCGGCTCCGCCGCGGCGCAGCAGCAGGCCCGAGGGGACGGGAGAAAGAGCCACAGTGGGCGGCAGAGCGAGGCTCGACCCGGTTCTGACACCAAAGCCTCCAGGCTGCGGGGGAGCCGGAGCCTCACCATTCCAAACTGGAAGGCCAGGAGGGGGACGCTGACGCTGTGCAGCTCCAGCGTCACCAGCTGGGGGCCGCAGCTCCCGCCGACGGTGGTCATATTCGGGTTGATGCCGAACACTCTCGTCGAGGTCTGAGTGAGGAAAGCAAAGGGTTACCCTGCGGTCCTGCCCTGGCTCCTCCCGCTCTGGGAAAGACAAAAGGAATCTTAAAACAGGCCACAATCTTAAATCAATCTTAAATCACAAAAGGAATCTTAAATCAAGGCCGCAATCATTTTAACCAAAACCAGAAGGAAAACATCTGAAGTTCACTCTAGCGCAGATTTCTGGGTTCCAAAACCGTTTTCCCGGCTCCTCCCGTTGCTATTTGTTGCTGTTTTCACAAGGACGCACACCCGGCCCTCCGCCCCGTCTCCAGAAAGCCGCCCACTTCACACCCGTCACAGGCATGTGCCCTGCAATCCTGAAGACATGGTCACCAGCAGAGACAGTTATTATTTCAAAAAAAAAGCATAAAAAAAGTTGGAGCAGTGAAGTTTAAAGCAAAATTTAACATTCTCTTAGGGATCAGTAAACTTGTCCCAAAGAATATGCCGAGCGACACGCGTCTTCGGCTTTGGGGACCACCTACCACTCCCTGATTCTGTCTCAGAGAGCAGGAGCCTTGCCCTGCGCGCGGACAGGTGGGTACGGCCATGGGCTGAGAAGCCGACCAGAGCTTGGACCTCAACCAGACTCACACGCGGGGCCCTGCTGCTCCCGGACCAACCCTCCACACACAGAAAAAGGGCTCTGGGGGCTGAGCCTACCTTGTTGTCCTCCTTCTCGTAGGTGACGTTCAGCTGCAGGCCCATGCTGGCCAGCAGGCAGGTCCCGTTGGCGCCGCTCACGTTGTACTTGTACACGGAGGGGCTCTCGGGCGTTGGGGATGGCGAAGGGTGGGGAGGCGGCGGCGGCGCCGTTGTTGGGAAAGGCCCGTCTTGCTCACAGCGCGTCTCTGCACAGACAAGAGGGAAGACAAAGTCCTAGTTCCTCATGGCTGCCGGGAGCTTCGGCACCCCACAGGTGCTCAGTGAGCCCCGTACGCAGAATGTGATCTCTC